GATGAGGTTCTGTCTGATTCCTTCTGGCGATATCCAGGCAACTGCAGACCAGATCCGTTTGGGGAATGGACTGTCAATAGGTGTCCTTCTGAGGGTCTCCAGGTTGATAGCCGCTGCTGTGATCGCATTGTGCTAGATGCAGCTTGGCATGGCAGGGACTGGCCCCCCCCCCCTGGATGCCTTGTTCCAGCTCATGAACAGCACTTGCTTCATTCTAGTGCGGCTTTGCTCCTTAGACACCTCTTGAGCGGTCTCACGTGCACTTGGGGCTGGATCCGTGCTCCGCAGAGCTTTTGGGATAGTGCCCTTTCCACCCCATTTGCCAGGTTTCACCTTTTGCAAGTTAATTAGGCTGCGACCGACTGCAAGCATTCAAAGTCAAAGTCAATACTACTCCGAGGCTCGGGGAACAGGGCTCCAGAAGGATGGGAAGAGTGTCTTAAAGGTCTAACAAGGGCCTTCTGCTGCTTAAGCCCTCAACCTTAAACCCCAACCGCTTCTGCTCACCCTGTTCAGGACTTAGGTAGCAGCAGACCACATCTGAACGCATGTGTCGCTTTGGGCGAAGTTTGTGATTGTGAAGCATACGAGGTTTCTCAAAACAGTGGGGATGCTCTGTGGGTCAGGGTTGAGGGTTTGCGGTTTAGGGTTCAGGGTTTAGGGGTGAGGGTTTAGGGTTAAAACATTCAAGGATTTCGGTATTTCAGCGTATCCATTGGAATCCCATTTTGACAGACCCGCATGTGAACTTCCCCGGACCTAAATTCTGAAGCATAAAAATTCTAAACCCCAAGCTCTAGACCCTGAAGCCCTAAGCTTTAAACTCCCAAACTGAAACCCTGGACCTCAAACCCCAAAACACCTAAACTCCAAATCCCAACGCCGTCAACGCCTAAAAGGTGCGGAGCGCAAGTTGCGCCTTCGCCGTGTGGACTGGGCAATAAACGGGTTGCAGCACGTTGTGTTTAGGGTTTGGAGTTCGGAGGGGATTGGGGGTTCTCAATTCAGAGCAACTGAGGCATGGGCTTCCATTGCGGAGTTCAAGCTCGAATGCTTTCAGTATATCCGTAGCCGCGAGACTGGTGCGTGTGACAAGGTTGCTGCAGCTGAAGCGTGCGAGCCTCCTGAACCCTAAAACCCAGCAGCATTGCATTATCCTGAGTCTTACAGGAAGCCTGGTAACTTCATGAAGCAAAGCCGGCGAAGATATCCCAAAGCCAGTACAGCAGCAAAACCGCAAAGCAGTGCCTCCAAACGGAAATTGCCTCGTCATGATAACGGTCTTCAGTTCCCCAGCCTGCCATACCACATTGTCTTTGATTGCAGGACAGAGAAGGCCAAGATGAAGCGACAGTCGCCACCATGCGCATGTCCGCAGGCTCGTGACTGTGACCCAATGTTCTAACCTAAGATCTCTTAGCCTAGGACCCTACAGCTTCGTTTCCCGATCAGTAAGAAAGTAAGAAACGCACTGCGACCATCAATTCGCAACTGACCCAGACATCCAGGGTTTGCTGGTGTACTAGCTTGATTTTGCGGCTGCTGTCTTCGTGTCAAGATGTACTTCTTGTTTTTTTGACGTTCCTTTGGTAGATGCCTCCGCGCTCCACGTTCCCGGCCTCGCCGCCATCGAAAGGTCCCCATCTGCGGATAAGGCCATGTCCTTTTTTTCCCAGGAATCACGACCACAAGACCCAGGCAACAGGACTCCAAGGGGGTATCTCTATCAGCCCTCAGCAAACCCTATAAGACAATATAAAACAACATCCATCCTTTGTACAACTTCTAGAAACCTTCCACAAAAGCTCTCTAGCCTTGTATAAATAAAAGGTCGATCAAACCTACGTATGACCCCCTGTAAGACTTGTTCCTCGGTTTATTAAACCTTTATACAACTCTGTAGGGCCTTTATAAAACCTCCAGAAAATGCTAAAACAAGTTCTTTAATTCTTAGCAGACGTTCTATGAAACCTATGAACCACCTGTAAAACTTCACAACCGATCCTGCGCCTAATTCTAACACCCACGCCTCAACTGTACATCCCAAGCCGTAAACCCTTTAAAGTCCGGAAAATTCCCGAATCCTAACATCCTTATAGACCCCTATGTACCCTCTGGAAACCCCCTGTACCCTACAACCCCAAAACCCTAAACCCCAAACCCTAAAACCCGAACCCTAAACCCTAAACCCTAAACCCTAAAACAGGTGGAGGAACACGCATCGATGCGGGCCTTGCCATGGGCCTGCAGGTTATGGAGCAGAGGCCCGAGCCGTTCCCGAAAGTGTCATTGCTTAGGAATTTGGGATTCAGGATTTTGAGCCTAAATCTCAGGATGTTTAGGGTTTAAGAGTTGAGGTTTAGGGTTCAGGGCTCCTGCTTAAGGATTAGATTTAGGGTCAGCTGTTTCTGGTAGGTATGATTGCTTCTTCTTCTTCTTGCAGTTATTCTACGTCCTGCTTGAGGCCATCATCAGCGGCCGAAACAGATATCATCCGTGGTATCATTGCAGTTCGTTTGATGTTCATTGCTATTGAGGTTTTTATTGCTCGCATTTTGTCATGTTACAACTGTTAATTTGCTTTGTCTTTATTCCCTAAACCCGACACCCTAAACCATCCTAGACCCTATTAGGCCCTAAACCTTAAACCCTAAACCCCAAACCCTAAACGGAGAGCTTGTGCGACTGAGGATCCCCCCAATTCAAAGTATGTCCTGGGTGTCCAAAGAGGTTTCAGGGTTTAGGGTTCAGGGTTTAGGGTTGCGGATCATTGTCCATGGTAACTGTTGCTTTTGCACTAAGAAACACTACCCCTGTGACCAATAGATCCCGAGGTGAAAGGTAATAAGCTGGTATACATGGGAAAGGGTAGAAACAAACACTCATCCTGATAGCAATCGCAGCAACTAGCAAAGCCACAGAATTGGTGCAAGCAGAAAATATTGGAAGATCAATCACGAATTGCACAAGGACAGTCACATCTACGGTGATGGGGAAAGTAGCGGGCATTGCGATAAGCAAGGAGCACAAGACTAATAATTGTAAAGTTGCTTGGAGAAGGTTTGCAACTGTCAGCCGTCTCATTGTTATGTCAACAAGGGCTGCCCGTTGTGCTGTTTCGACTATTTGAATAGGTGGTTAAGTCACTTTCGTTGCTATGGGCCCTCAACACAGCTCGGAACGGTGCAGTCTGCAATGGTTGCAACTCCTGAGCACCCGCCTTTCGTACAACATGTCGGAGCCTGTACGTGGCTACCAATCATGCAAGTGTTGGCATGTAGGGTTCAGGGTTCAGGGTTGAAATTCTAGGGACTCAGGCTCGGAGTGGAAGAAAGTTGCATTCTTAGGCTACCCCAAGCCCTCCCAACATGCCAGAAACTAAAATGCGCTTCCAACTTTTATGCAGATCAAGCGAATGCTAGGATAGCAGACTGGTTGAAGCATTGTAAGTGCTCCGTACCTTTCCCGGGGGTTACCGGTGGATTTTTGTTGCGGTTCCTCGGAAATCCCCACCGCCGAGCTAGGCGCCACAAGAACAAAGTCTCGGCCATCTTACTGCTGACAGACGGTCAAGACCACTCTTCTCGCCCCAGCTTCAAAGCTGCACTTTGGGTACAAGATCTATACTAGGAGATGTTATAGTAGACTTTCATACCACTGTATATTTTAAGAAGAGTCACGTTTTAGAAGTAGCACAAGAACTAGTACAAGTAGCAGTAGTAAAAGTAGTGGCTGCCGTAGTGGTGCTGGTGGTAGCAGATGCAAGATCTGGGCAGGGCCCTTTTCTCCTTGGCTTGTGTTTATCAGAGATCTCAGCAAGCATAACTTTCTTGTCGCCTTGTGGATGCGTTGGCTTTGCAATTTGGATTCTTGATGTTGGTTTAGACGCTGGCATCACCGTACACCTTACCACTGCTGGGAGGGCTGCTGACCATGCCGAAGCATAGGTTAGGGCTGTTCTCTCTCGTTGCTCTGGGGGTATGCTGGCTGGATCTTATCATTTAAGCGCAACAGTTGGGCAAGAGGCTGAGTCATGTCCTCTTCGATTACAAGACTTCGAAATCCTTGGGCGCATTGAACTGGCTCAAGACTTGACACCGGACTACCAAAGCAACCTGCTGATGATGTGGCGCCTTCGGGAAATGGGAAGATACTAGGAGATTGCCCCTGACCTGCTCCGTGCAGGCATTGGGTGCGATGCAAAACATAAACCTCTATACAGGAATTATCGAGTTGCTTACAAAAACTAAAACTACTAGCAACGCCAATGCTCGATTCTGGATTATCGACCCCCGCAACATTCTGTTCCAGCAGCCCCAACCTCACCGCAAGTGTCTGGTGCGGATCAGACTTTCAGCGTGGCTTCGACGATTGTTCTGCGGCCGTGTGCGGCTTGCGGAAGGTGTTGGGTTTGAAGTGGGTTCAAGGTAACCCAGACCCCTGATCAATAAACCCTCTCCCTGCAAGGGCCTTAATTTTAGGATCCCTATTGTAACCCAAATTAAAGGGGAGAGGGTTTATTAATCAGGGCTCTACGTTAAGCGTTTTGACTGGCAAGAAACAGAGCAGGGGGAGGCTTTCTGCAGGTTTTGGTTGTCACATGCTTAAACCTAAATCCCTAAACCCTAAATCCCGTAGAAGAGTGTCAGGCCTGGTACTTTCTTGCTTTACTGGCATCTTCGATTACATGAGAGGTCATCCAGTGATTTGTATGCGTTTCATTATTGCTGTGCCCTAAGCCCTAAACTCCTTCTAGTAGGGTTCCGTGCATGAATGGAGAATCCAATGAAAGATCAAGCAGGGACTGGCTGCGGTGATTGAAAAAAGTTCTTCTCGACTTACGATGGGGTTAGTAGGGAATAACAGAATACAGTATGTAGGGATTATACATTGGGATTAGATAGGGATCGTATTCCCTCATTCCGTACTAACCCCTAACCTCTAAACCACCAGTAAGTTGGACACTAAACCCAAAACCTTAAACTCTTGAAGCAGCTGAGATCTTCCGAGCCTGCTCAAGTTTCTCGGTCGCATTGCCAAGCCAAGGATCGGCCCTTGATGCTAAGTTGATGTCTTACATAGGGGTTATATAGGGATAATGGAAAAGAAAATGGAAACTACAATTTAGGGTTTATATGGGGGTTACAGGGTGTATATAGGGTTATATAGGGATACTGGAAAAAGAACATGGAAACTACCAGATAGCATATTGGGGTCATGTAGGGTTTAGGGTTTAGGGTTTAGAGGGTTGTATTGGGTTTTATGGGGATTCTTTCGGGGCAATGGAAAAGAAAATGGACACTACGGTTTCAGGGTTGAGGGCTTGAAGGGTTTAGGGATTAGGGCTTACCCAGACCTACAATGGGATCTAAAAACTGGATCCCCCAGAACCATATGGGACGTTATATACGGTTTTTGTAAGGGGGTACTATGGGCTAATATAGGGGATCTGTTTTTTCAGATCTTCCCAGGGGTCTGGGTAGGACTTCCGGAATGAAAGGTCCCAAAGGGTAAGGACCCTGAAACCCAAAACCCTAAGGAGGGAATGATGGATCCATTCCTTTCTTCCATACTTGCCACCAGTAAGCCAAGCAAAATTGGAACCCTAATTCCTCATGAGCCGCCCAAATAAAGAACTGACTCCGCATTACAGGATGGTATTTTCTTGGAGCATGTCTTCTTAGGGGAAGCCGAGGCGTGCTGCCAAAGCTGGGTGCAGCATTTACGCTTTCGGCTTCGGCACGGACCATGATGCTCAGATGCTTCACGAAATTGCAGAAGTGGCGCGAACGCCGTTTACCTACGTGGAGAACACGGCAGCGGTTCCAGAGGCATCCCTGCCGCAGCAGTAAAATGGATGTTTCCATAAATCCGGGGGAACTCAATATAAACCCCAATATCTTCTAATCCAGAAGATAATAGGGAAGAAGCACAAAAGGGCAACATAACATCAAGGCATGGATCACAATCTTATGCTTTGGAAAAGGATAGTAGCAAGCATAATGATACTAATAGTAGCAGCCGCTGATGGGAAGGTTTTACTGCCTTGGTTTGGTGTAAGTGCCCAGTGTATGCTTGTTCGCCTGTGGTGCCCACTCATTAGGTCTGTCCGTGCTATGGCACACAAGTACTGCGCACCTCCAAAGTGTATTGAAGCACGGTAAACAGCCTTGATTCCTGCACCCAATTCCAGAACACAAATCATGAGTTCTCCTAATCTATCCCCCCCTATACTCCCTCCCTAAGATTTCCCTAAATCAACATCAATTACCCCTAAATAAGTGTTTATTCAGGGGTAACATTGGGCAGGGTGGTACGGAAGGGGGTGGTTAGGCAATCTCTGATCCAAGCAGCCTAGGCTTTTGCCGGTGTGGTGAGTGGCCTCTCCAGTATTGTGGCGCAGCAGGTGCAGCTTTCAATAAAGTGCGATGCTGTGCTGAAAGATGTATCTGAGCTGCAGAAAGCAGGGGCCCCTTTTGAAGAACCCTTGCTTACTGGTTCCTAGTAGGGGAATACGGGACTGTAATCCCTGTATAAACCCTAACTCATGCATTCCCATATCCCCGACTAACCCCCAGCAAGCTTGTATTAAGCAAGTTTTGTCCTGCTATTATGATAATCTTCTGCCAACCAAGGTAAATACGCCGTTTCAGGTGGAACGCGACGGGGAACGTAATGCCGTCGTAACGATACCAGACATTTTCGCAGAAGAGCGCAGGGACATTCTGCTTGAGCTTTCCGTTGCCGAGGACTTGTGCATCAATCCAGATGTTGCGCCTGAAAACTCAGATTCAGCTGGTCGTGACAAACAAGGAGGAACTGGGGAGCTCTAGCTCAAGAAAGTCAAACCCTAAACCCCAAAAGAAGCTGTGAGAGATCTGAAGAGGTCCCATCCCTTTCTTGTGATAGAGAGCATTCCGAACGTACAGGGACCAGAAAGGCAATGGAGCCCATGGACTAGAATCCCCCCAGCTCGAGATGATGAGTTTTGAGTTTAGGGTTCGCTGCTTAGGGTTGAGCGGGTTTGGGGTGTTGGGTTTCAGGTTTAGGGTTCAGGGTTTAAGGGTTAGGGTTTGCTGTGAGTTAGCGTGCACGCAGTGATGATGAGGTTTGAACGACCCTTCAAGGCCATCAAGTGCATTGCTGCATGAAGTGCTGCCATGGCCCTCACCATTGTAGGTGGGTGGCCTATGCACTGAGTTTTTTGGGTCTAAGGGTTAGGTTTTAGGATTCAGGACGCACATGCCAAACCCCAGACCCCAAATCCCATGGCCAATGGTCACCAGCGGCCAATTCTTGACAACCCGATCTAAGATGTAGGGAAACATAGAAAAGTGTGGCGGAGTAAGAGCCACCGAAAAGATTGATTCTTAAAGGGGTTTATAGGGGTTGGATAATGTTTTATGGGAATGTATAGGGTTTAGGGATTCGAGTTTTGTGTTTCAGGTCCCCTTCTTGCCCATGCTTAGTTCATTCTGGGCATCACAACGGGGGTTCCAGAGTGGCTTCATTACGGCTGCTTTATGGATCCATTCCTCCTTCCCTACCTAAGCATGAGTGAGTTTACTTGCAGGGAACCCGCGCGATTCAAAGGATGCTCGTATACCAAGAATGGGGTTATGTGAGGTCGATGTCCTGCAAGTATGCCAATCCGGAAACAAGATCTGAAGATCTTGAGGGTTAGGGGTGGCTTGCGCTTGAAACTACACTTGGAATTTAGTTGGCGACTCTTTCTACCATGAGCCTTAGTGATTCTTGGGATGCCCAGACTCCCAAAATGGAACCCTGCTTTTGACACTCCAGCATTCCACGACCCAACGCCTACTATTTGTAACATAGTTATATACAGCCCTTAGTATTACCCCTATTATAGACTGTTTATGATTATCGGCAGTACCCAAGATATTTCTTAGCAGGACCATGCAGCAGAAGCCGGCAACTGCTTGCTACAAGCCTCCGCGAAGTATGTTGACCTGCGCCCTGGTTTGATATGGAGGGATTAGGGTTTTTTGGTTTTTAGATTTGTGCGTTCAGGGTTTTTTGAGGCTCAGAGTCTATCTGTGCCAGTCGTTTGTTCAACGGACTGTTTTGGGCTTTGACCTCAATTGTTTTTTTGGGGAGTTTCCATTGCATGGACGAATTGCTAACTCGGGATTCTAAAGCAAACTCCAAATCCCCAAGCCCGAAACCGTAAGCACAAACCTAAGTCTCAAACCCTAAGTCCCAAACTTACCCAAAATCGTAAACCCTGTGTGGGGATTTGCTTCCACTTTGCAGCTCACCCTAGGTGGGTAGATGTGGGTAGTATGTTTGAGGCAAGCCCGTTGGTGTTTTAATTGTTACACAGGGATATGCAGGGTGTATATGGTACAAGAATGAAAAATCAAATGGCAAAGAACATTGAATATGACATGGAAACTGGGTTTCTACAACTACGAAGGGTTTATAGGGGTGATGATGTCTGGACGTAGGTGGGGGTTTCGAAACATTAGTGGGTCCCTTTTTGGGGGTCCCTAAAGTCAGGAGTATCATATGACAAGGGATACCATAGGGCTATTTACGGGATGTCTATATACTTCCACCGCGAAATACCCTAAACCCTAAACCCTAACCCTAAACCCTAAAAAAAACCCTCAAGACAAAAATGAATAGAAATTGTATGCTTTCGCAAGCANNTATGAACCATTTGGCGCTGTTCCCACATCCCTGTTCCGGCCAAAAGCAAGTGCTAAACATCCAGAGAGCCCTTCCGACTTTTGGACAAAGCAAAACGGACACTGAGGTCAAAACTTTTGGGGGCCCAAAACTGATACAATTTCCCCAAAACCAGTCCAGAAATGGCTTGGAGACCACCAAAACCAGGAGAGCACCAAAAACCAGTCCGGCAAGACCAGAAATGGTCCCTGAGAGGTTGCTAAGTTGCTAGGGTTCTGGAGCCTGGGAGTTTTTTTGAGGCAAGAAATCAAGGGGCTTGGGAGGCCCCTGCAATGTTTCGGCAGGCCCTACGCTGGGAGCTTCTGGGAGGCCAAAAACTTTCGGTCAAAACTCAGAGACCCAAACCAAATCCAAACAGCAAGAAGCTCGAAATTCCGCCTCCCACTTGCCACTTGCCTACCCCCTCCTGCCGGCCCAGAAATTGTTTGTTGGTAAGCCAAAGCACCAAATTGGTTCTGGACAAGTTAAAACCAGAAACTTTCGGTCACAACTCAGGTCAAAACTCAGGTCAACAACTTTTTGGGACCCAAACCCTATACAATTTCTATAAACCCTAAACCCTAAACCCGAAACCCTAAACCCTCCTAGAGGAGCCCCAGAAGCCCACGCCCTCTGAATGAATCTTGATAAGCGCTGTAGAAGGCTAAGGTGAGGATCATCAGCACTTTTGTTCAGGTTTTGGCATACTGCTTGAATCTGTGGCCCTAAGCCCTAAACCCTTAATCAAATTTGAGACAGATCTGTGGTTTGGGTGCTAAGGTTCATGTATGTTGTGCAAAGAGTAGATCCGCATAAGACCACGAAATCCCAACACCCCAAAACCCAATCTGACCTGCAACTCATAAAGAAAACTGGGTCCAGGAACCTTACACCCCGAAACCCCAAGCCCTTAAGCTAAAAATGCCCAGGCCCTAAACCCTAAAGGCCCTCAACACCTTAAGCCGACAATCTTCCCTACACATCACCCCAAAATTCTTTAAACATCTCATCCCTATGATCTTTCCCAAAACCCCCTTCAAAAGGTAAACGGATCCTAAAACCCCAGGCGTGGTGCTCAGGAGGTGCGTGTACAGACACCTCCGGTTTCCATGACCGTCCAGCGCGTTGAGGAGCCACAGCTGCGCTGCTGCAGCTTCAAGGGGGTCTAGGGACTAGCGGTTGAGGTTTTAGGGTTTATGGAAGTTGTATAGGGTTCAGGGATTAGGGGCCGAGGGTTTAGGGTTTAGGGTTTAGGGCTTAGGGTTTAGGGGTTTAGGATTTAGGGCTTAAGGTTTAGGATTAAGGGTTTAGGGGTTTAGGATTTAGGGGTGTAGGGTTTGGATTTTGGTGTCGTTTAGGGTTTAAGATTAAGGGTTTGGGGTTATAGGATTGAGGGTCTGAAGGTCCGGGTTTAGGGTTTGGAGCTTCGGGATGTTGGAATTAAGGACTCAGGTCTGAGGACGACAATTCGGACCCTGAACATTCAAGTATGGCAATTATGGCAATGCCACACCTTGCAGGAGTAGTAGCTTGAATAGTATTATTGTCGTCACCAATACAGAGTAAGGTTAGGTTCTGCTTTGCTCGTAGTATGCAAGGAAGTTCTACAATGATGTGTTCAACCACGAAAAAAATCAAACCCCAAACCCTAAACCCTAAATCCCCAATCCCTATTCCCTAAACCTTAAATGTCTAAAGATATGGAGTCCCCTCAAGGCTTCCTATTTGAGAAGACTGCTCATTTAAAGACTTGAACCCAGTAGGTTGCAAACCCCCAATCCCAAAACTGAAAATACAATGGAAACTACAATTTAGGGTGCAGTAATATTAGTGTTGTATTAGGATAACGGAAAAACAAATGGAAACTACTATTTAGGGTTAAGGGTTGTAGGGGGATATTGAGTACATATATACATATACACACCCACTGTAATCCCAGATTCCATGTCATGTCATGTTCTTCTCCACCTAAATAACGTAGTAGTTTCCATTCCATTTTCCAATTTCTCTCCCATTTGAGTCCCCATGGGTACCCTAAACCCTAATTCCTAATTTGCAGATGAGGGTTGAGTAGCTCCTGTGTGCGAAGTTTGTATTCCTGGAGTGCAGTTGTCTCTGAACGTACTGCGTCCCATGATGTGGTAGCTTCCTCGTAGCTGGCTGCTCAGTAGTTGGTTGTCTGTCTTGAATGGTCTGATAAGACATATTTTCGGCTGACGCTTGGACGTCGTTCGTCGTGCAGACGGAAAACGGCCGTTGCCAAAAAAACCTTAAACCATAGGTCATCCCTGAACATTGCCCCAACCCCTCAGGAACCCTGAATCGTAAACAGCAGTTTACTTACCCCCAATATAACCCCAATATAACCCCAATATAACCCCAATATTACTAAACCCTAAATAGTTGTTTCCATTTTCATTTGTCATTCTCCCTATATAACCCTGTATTACCTTATATCATCCCAATATTACCCCTTCAAAGGCAGATAAGCCCAGGCCCGAGCTAGAGCCGGATGTGGAAGTGTCCGAGCAGCGGCAGAGATGGGAGGCATTTGGGGGACTTAGGAGGAATGAGGCTTTCAGGTAAAAGGTTTTTGGTTTGGGTTGTCTAGGGTTTAGGGGGTCAAGGTTGTAGGATTTCGGGGGGTTTGCGGTTTAGGGTTTAGGGGGCTTAGGTTTGAGGCTTTAGGGCTCAGGGTTTGGATTGTAGGATGTAGGCCTTAGCAAGGAGGAAGAATCATTCCAATGATGGCGCACCAGGGAGTAGGAGGTCCAGACTGGAAGGTTCTTGTTAGTTCACATGAGCTATAGTCTAACATCTTTAACGGGGGCTAGATATACGTGATTATATAGGGGATTACTGTAGGGGTTGTTAAGGGGACACTAGGAGTTTAGACTGTAGCTCACATGGCATCAGGATGCCAACGAGATAAGTCAAGCCGTGAACTTGCACTGTCAATCCCACACACCATTTGAGAATCCAACAGTCTCGAATGCTGTTCCGAATGTTTTTCTCACAGGTGTCCTCGCTGGGTTCCTTGGCATCCTGATGAACATCTTCAACCCTCAATCGGATTGGAAAAGACCCTTAACCCCCAACCCTAGACACTAAACCCTAAATTCCCAAACCTACTCCTGAAATCCTCAATCCTGAACCCCAACCCCGAAACCCCCAAACCCTAAACCATAGCATCTCCTTGCGACCAGGTGAGTCGAGTGTTGGAAGTTGCCTCCAGGCACTCGGATCAAGGACGTTTCCAGGCACCAGGGTTTTGCCTCAAAAGCCATGCTTCCGCGGTTTAGGGTTTAGGATTTCGGGTTTAGGGTGTCAGGGTTAGGGTTAAACAAAGGAATTCATCTGAGCTACCATCAATCTTAGGGTTACCAAGGGATCGTTCAGGGTGGATAAATTCCCGAATAAGGAACCCATTTCCATTCATTATAGGGGAAGCATTGACCGTAGCTCATATGACTCAGGAGTGTTGTGCTGTAAGAATTAAGAACAGATCAGAAGTACCTCGGCAATTTCTTCCACGAAAACGAATGACTTGGGGTTCGGAACTTCGCCTGCGCGGTTTAGTGATCAGGAGGATCTAGGGCTGAGCGTGTGCAGTTTGTTCACCATTTCGTCGTTTCGGAGCCTGGTGTTTGTAGTTTATATCTGCCAGGATTCGGAAGCAATCGCGTCAAGCATCCACTCTCTCCATTTTCCTGGTCTGGGGTGCAGGGAGGAACTTTGGAGCTGTGTATTTTGCACGGATACCGAGCCCTGAGCGCCAAAACCTAGCCACTAAATCTCAAGAAAACGAAAACTCTAAACCCTAAGCCCAAAACCCAAATTCTGAACTCTCAGTAAATTCTAAGCCCTAAACCGTAAACCTGGTCTCTGGCCCGCCCAGATCCACTGTCCCTGGCTCCGTGTAGAGCCCCCTACCAACCAAGGTCTGTTTGCGCGGCTGCGCTTTAGGGGTTTTAGACCCTAAAACCTAAACCCTAAAACCTAAACCCTAAACCGGGTCAGGTTCAACCCTGGACTGGGATGCCTTGGAGCAGGGTGAATGCACTCCAGCTGCTGGGCGGGCTGTAAGGTAGACCCGGCAGGTTGCCCTTGTAATCTCCTCTCATCGGCAACGGCCCCATCAGGCAGCTCTTTTTGGGTGGGCCATTTTGCCTGGAGGCTCCCGAGTTTTAATTTGCAGGGGGGCTCTGCCCCAGGGCCTTCTTGGGCCAAATCCAACCCAATGCACCCGCTTCATCAACAGGGTTCGAGTCGCTCGAGGATTGGAAAGGCTTGCAACCCAGGCTCAACATGTAACGAACAGAGGGCCTGCCTGGTCAACAGGGTCGGGGGTCCGGCCCATCTTGGTCCACGGCGTTCCGCAATCCCAAGCCAGCTGCAGTCAAGAAAGTTCCTGGTCCCACAGGTGTGTCAATTCCAAGTCGTTCAAGCATTGGAGAGGCAGCGCTAGATTTGGGAAAGCTCGGGATTGAGCCCAGATCCAAACCTTGCACAAACAAACTTCGAAAACGAAAGGCCTTCAGCCAGACCCCAAACCAAGCCTTTCCCAAACCAAACCTTGGAAAGAGCCTTGAACCAGACCCAAACCCAAGCCTTCACTTTCTTGGTCAAGGTCCCCTTGCACCCGTTCACCCTATAATCCTTATATAACCCCAACATAAACCCTACAATCCCTATATAACCCCAATATAAACCCTGTAATCCCTATATACCCTCTGAATGTATGCCTTGTTTCCCAATTCGCGCATGATGTGCAGGCATCGTTCATGTCAGAGCATCCCAGAACCAAAATACAAATGAAAGGACAATTAGGGTTTAGGTTTTAGGGGCTATTTGGGGGTAATATAGGGATAATGGAAAAGAAAATGGAAACTACTATAATGGGTTATATAAGAACACAATCAAGAGCCAAGGAAAATTTCAACCCACACAGATTGAGGGGAGGCTGGCGCGCCAGCAGGGGTGGGCTCGTGCGCTTCGGGGTGTGTGCTTGAGTGCTTTCAGCACCAGCGCACCCCTCGATGAGACCCTGAACCCTAAACTCTCAACCTTAAACCCTAAACCCCGGACCCTCAACCCTGGACCTTACCTAGGTTCTCATAATTTCAGAACTTGCTATGTGCTTGCACTAAGTCGCTCGGACCTCTAAGTCGTGACTTTCAGAAGCGCAAAATCCTACCTGGCAGGAGGCACGTGAGTTATTGCGCGACAAGCAGAGGAAGATCTGCAGTGCCCCGCAGACGCCTGTGTTCAAGGCTGTTGGGCTGGGTAGGCCCCTGTGATGTTTAATGTTTTCCCTATTGGCTTTAATAAGGGATCCTATATACTAATACTTTTCAAAGGGTTTTCGGGGCCAACCTAGAATAGAAGTCCGTATTTTCAAGGAGAAGTTGCTCCCTTCACATAGGCCAGAATCCTTGGACTTCGTTTCAGCAACTCTCAAAAGGACACCTAAGCTTGAGAGTTCCCTCAATAGACATATACAGAATACTGGGCACGGGGCACTTAGACACAGCAGGGGCCTGCCACAGCTACCATCCAGGGGTACACGAAAGTCCGAGGAGTTGGGGTGATGCTCTTTCAGAATTGGGGGAGCCCAATGTAGACCCCGCCCCACAATACTATAATCCATATCATAGGGACCCCTAACAGGGTAGCCTTAGTTCTTGGAAACCCTATGTCCGCTGCGCGGGCTGTCCTGGAAGCAGGATCGGGATTGATGCTGTTTGGGGAATTTTTTGGACCCGAGCATTTATGAGGTTTAAGGCTTAGGGTTCCTGTACTTGTACACTGGTAAACAGGGTGTTCAGAAATGTCGGGTTCTATATGCAGAAAGGGGCACAATTTCTGGCATCTGGGCCACCAGCAGCGCTCGTGGAGCCAAGTCACGGACGGACATGAATTTGTGGGGACCGAGCCTTGTAGAAATGATTCCCCGAACCCAAACTTGGGTTGATGTTAAGGATTTCGAATTAAGTTGCCATTATTATGAAGCCACATACTGAGCACCTATCAATGCTATGGCAACTGAATTTATGCCCCTCTTCAGCAACCCGGCCACCCCCGTGTGAGCATGGTCCTCAGCGTTGAGAACACAGAACCAGCCAACAAATGTTTTGGACCGCCCGGCGATTCCTGCCTCCACAGGTTGTTGTTGGAGCCCATCTGGTACAAGTCAGGGCCCATGGAGGGTTTAGGGATTCTGGGACTCTCAGAGGAGTACCTGATTTCCTCCACGGACGATAAATAGGAAACCCAAAGGAAGATCGATGCAGAGTGGTGGATGCGCCAAAGCAGGTCACAAAGATGGCTGAGGGCTTAGAGGTTAGGGGGACTCTAGTACATGGCTGGGTTCACCATGCCTCCTCTCACTCTCTTGAGAAACCCTAAACCCAAATCTACCCAAAATAGACTTTCAACAGCAAGCTTGAACCCAATTGAATGGGCCCAAAGGCGCTGAACGTCCAACTTGCAGACGCTGAAGATCGCATGTCGGATCAGGGTAGCTGGCTCTTGGGCCTCATGAGTTTCAGGAATGATTTTGTCGTCTTTAGGATGCAGGCCTTAGGGTTGGGGGCGCTCTGGACTTCAGGTTTCAAAATTTGAGGATTACGGTTCAGGGTTGAAGGCTTACGGGTGAGGGCTTTGGGCTTTGAGCTTTGGGGTGGGGGTTGTAAGGCCTTACGATTGGGGTGGCTAAGAGGTGTAGGGATTAGTGTTGAGGGCTCGATTGATGGGTTTTAGTCAGCGCTGTGTGATTTGGAGTTTTGTGATGTAGGATTAACATTGCAGGATTCATGGCGTTTAGCTATAGGGTTTCGATTGAGGAAGAGAGTTTTTTGTTTCCTAGGATTGAGATTTTTGGGCTTTGCGTTTTGGGGTTTTGGATTTTGAGGTCTAGCTGGTGGTAAGCCCATTGCCCGCCCAGGCTTGCTTTAGCAACTACACCCTAAACCTTAACCCCTCAACGGATAAGCTCTGTGAGCAGCTGCGCGATGCGTTTTGACGCTCGCGACTATCGTGCTTCTCATGGGATAGAACTCGGAGGGTTAAGGGGGATTCGTAAGTACATTCATAGGGCTATTACATTAACCCCAGTTATCCAGTTCTCCCACTTGTTGACGTCGTTACGAAGTACCCTGACAGGAACCCTCAAGCCCGGCTGGATGCAATTGTACAGACCAAGAGCTAAAATGGAACTAAAACCCGAACCCGAACCCTATACAACTTGTATCAACACTAACCTACTACTAAGCCCCAAGGGTCAGTAGGGTCACTCGCTCTGAGCATAGACTAAGGCGCATTGGCTCAGCGTCAGTCAAGGAGGCAGCTTCTATGCACAAGGCACGCTGTGAGGAAGCTCGTCCAAGTTCACAAGCAAAAGCCACGGCGACAAAACTCAACCAACATCCTGTTGGCTTCATAACCTCAGTCAGAAACAACAGGTAATATAGGGATAATGGAAAAGAAAATGGAAACTACTATAATATATTGGGGTTCTCTAGGATAATGTAAAGGAAATGGAAACTACTACCCTAAACCCTAAAGCCTAAACCCTAAACCCTAAACTCAACTTTATGCATTTCTTCTTGGCAGATGCAACGTACGACGAACACCATGGCATCCCCCTCCTCATTTTGCCCCGGTGTGACTTGGCTACATGGGTTATTCTCAGAAGTATTGGCCCCTGTTGATTATAGATTTCATAGGGATTATATTATAGGGATCGTACCCTAATTTTGGGAGCTACCCACATCTTTCTGGCTCATTGTGTGGAAGCTAAAAGCTTCAGCCACCGAACCTCCATGCTCCACTCTGCATGCCACCCTAAACCCTAAACCCTAAGCCCTAAACCCTAAACCCTAAGAATATCTGCCAGGCTTATGACTTATGAGTTCCTGATAGGGGCCTAAATAATTACCAATATTATGGTTCCATATTCCTGGTATAATTATAGTATATGGTACCTCAAATGGACCTCAAAATGAGATTGGTAACCCTAAACCCTAAGCTCTGTAGTACCTACATTTTTGTACTTCCGAAGTTGGTGCTCCAGAGTCGTAGGTGCAGTATCCAACTGCATAAGCAAGCGGCCCATGCTTTTCAGGACAACCTTCCCTTTGGGCCATAATCCAAACTCCTAGTATCCCCCTTAATCACCCCTATAACAGGAACCCTATATCATCCCCTATATAACTCCTTTTAAGGAGTTTCGACCCTAAACCCTAAACCCTACACCCTAAACCCTAAACCCCAAACGATCCCTATGAGGTTCTCACCACCAAGTCGTTGTACGTCAGCGGCGCGCAGCGTCTGGGCTGAACCGAAGGCTTTAGAGTTTTAGGGCCAGGTTTTACTTGTAAGGTCTAGGGTTCTGGGATTAGGGATTCGGGTTCAGGGTTTAGTTCCCACAATTAGAGGTTCCATTTTGGGGAATCTCCATAAGGATTAGAGTATTTTGGGGTATACATTGGGGTCACCCCTTTTAGGGAAACTACCAAGTAGTGCTTGGTAAGATTTAGTTTAGGTGGACGCCTCACCATATGATAGTGACTATGAGGGAGAATGGTGACAATATTTTTGGGCCCACTTTCATATTCCTAAGATGCCACTACTACAGGGTGGGGGGCCCTCCTAATGTTTAGGGTATAACTAGGGTTTTGAGTATGGGGCTCAGAGTGTAGGGCATACATTAGGGTTTTTGCTGAACTAGTCCAGTTTCAATCATCTAGAGAAATTCATGAGGATAGGGAACCTGCAGAATGAGCAAGCTCAAGGTGCGGGGCGTTTTTTGGTTATTGAGAGACCTATCGCCATCTTACCTTGTTGGAAGCTTCCCTAATCCTAAATCCTAAACCCAAACCCAAGAGAAGTCTCACGCAGAATGGATTTTTACAGAAGCCTGTACAGTTGCCTATATTGTTCCCGTGCAATCCTTATATGGCTACCTTATACTGCACCCAGGGTTTAGGGTTTAGGGGTTTAGGGCTTATGGTTCAGTGAATTTGAATCTTGCATCGCAACCCAGTAGTATGTAGTCTCAGTTACTATCTAATTCTGCATTTTCTTCCACATGTGATTCTCATTACATCTGAACCCAAACCCTATTCCATCTATCAAAAGGTTTCTACTTGGCCCCTAAATCCTAAACACCAAAAATCACAAAAACATTAACATCCTAAACCCTAATCTTTTCTCTAAACCCAACCCATCCCCAAATAACATAACAACAAATTTACACCATAAACCCTAAACCCCGAGCCCTACTCGTCCCGTCATGCATGCCAGTAGCCCTGAAGTACCCGAAAGGCCGGGAAGTAGTTGGGTTGCCTTTATTGTGGTATGACTGGGGAGGGTTTTGGGTTCAGAATGCGGGGTTCTGGATTCAGGGTTTCCGATTTAAGGCTTGGGGTCCAGGATTTAGGGGCTTAGGGTTTAGGGTTTAGGATGGAAAGCTTGGTCCTGGGAAATACTGCTTGTCACCGCAGACTTTAGGATTTAGGGGTTAGGGTTCAGGATTTAAGGTTCAGGGTTTACGGTTTAGGGTCCATGCTCCCTTCACAACCTTAGGTAAACCAGAAAAAAGTTTGCATGGTGCCCTTAAATCTATCCCAGGTTGAGGAGCTTTGATTGCTCTACATTGAGAACGGTGCCACATCGTTCAATGTCTTCACATTTGGTCACCACCCCCCAAAACAGATCCATATATCATACTGTTGAAAGGTGAAATCTTGCACCACCTAGGGACCCTAAACTACTGTAATTCCTAGGACTGTAGGGACCTAAGGTGGTGCAAGATTACCTCCATCAACAGTATGCCCCCAGCTTCTGTGACCTTAGTTAAGTGTTTCGCTGTTGTCCAGTTACCTACTAAGAAAGCTGCTGAACTGTACAGGAGTGCTTCCATCGCAAAGTCTATGGTGCCAGAGATTTTACGCGATCAAGCCTCTTAGCTTGCTCACATAGTTGGAATAGGGTGCAGGGCCTTTGTGTTGGAGTAAATAATACTTCACGTTAGGGGCTTTTAGAGGATTATATCCCTACTCAGGCAGGCTTCTGCATGGGATTTGCTGCATTTAGGCTTGTTTTTTGGGGGTGGGGGCGGCAAGGGAGGGGGCGGTATACCACACCGTAAAGGGAGGCACTTAGGAGCTGTGCTTGTTGAAGCCAGTGTAGTCGTGGCCAATCCTTGAGAGCTCTTTCGTCGCGGTGCAAGACTTGGTGCAGAAGATTCTGTCTGATATGTTATTCAAGTGACAGTGGGGTGTGAAGGCCGTGAACTGCTTCCTTGGAGAGGGATTTGCAAGTCTGAGTTGCAGTGTTTAAGGTTCAGGCTGGCTGGCCTGCTTACTGAGTACAGGTGCCGCACGCTGCTCTGCACGCGCGTCCGGACTTCATGCGGTGGGTTAGAAGTCAGGGTTGAGGCCCGCTTGTGCTTGCTCGCCCTCTGGAGTTTCCGAGCGTCAGGCTCCTTCGCTACCTCCTCCTGGTCCTGCTACTCTGCGTGTGCCCCCGACTCCTATGGCAAACGCCAGTGCCTCTGCCAGTGCCTCGTCTTCGAACGCACGGGGTGGAGATGGCCAAGATGGCAAGCAGGCAGAATGAGCAAGGAGAGAGAGCCCCCCCCTCCTTTCCAGGATATCGCGCAGCTCTGGTGAGCACAGTTATGTCCAACAGTTTTGGTCATTGCTTTCAAGACTCCAATCAAGAAACCATCAAATTTGAAAACTTCCAAATGATTCTGGACTGTCGTAGCTTCAATGCTTGTTTGATATCCTGATGCAGGGGGAGGCTAACATGTGAAAAGCTGTGGGGCCACCCGAGCCCGCAGCAAGTTCCAGGTGGAAGTATTACGAAGACCTTCAAGGCATGGAAGCACCTTTGGGTGGAATGGCTTCAAAGACTGCTCCTTCGGGGCAATGCCTTTTGAGGTCTTTGGTAGACTTCTTCATGTTCAAGATCCCAGCCAAGAAGTGGGTTTCACGAACCTTGACGCTGGTTAGCAAGGAAAAAAGGCATGGACCCTCATAGTTGTCCCTATACAATCACCAATAACATGGTAGTCTCCGTTCACTTTTCCATTCCGTCATTCCTTGCTGACCGAGGTAAGAAACTCGCGAGCCTTAGAATTGTAGCTGTGATAATGGAAAAGAAGATGGAAACTACAATAGTATATTGGGGTTATATAGGGATATTGGAAAAGAAGATGGAAACTACTATAGTATATTGGCGTTATATAGGGATAATGGAAAAGAAGATGGAAACTACAATAGTATATTGGGGTTATATAGGGACAATGGAAAAGAAGATGGAAACTACAATAGTATATTGGGGTTATATAGGGACAAAGGACAAGAAGATGGAAACTACTATAGTATATTGGGGTTATATAGGGATAATGGACAAGAAGATGGAAACTACTATAGTATATTGAGGTTGTCTAGCTACTGCAGGGTTAGGCTCTAAACTCTAAACCCTAAACCCTGAACCCTAAACCCTCAGTGCTTAGGGTAGTTAAAGGGAACCCAGACTCTTTGGCAAGGGACCAAATTGGAGCCCCGTCTGGCTAAAGTGCGAAGGCTCTAGGGCCTCCTGGTTGAAATTCAAGGGAGGTTCTTGAATGGGCTTAGGGTTTAGGGTTTAGGGTTTAGGGTTCAGTGTATCATGGCTTTCCCTACTACACCCCCCCGCCCCTGGAAGGATTTCAGCCACTGGCTAAGATGCCACAACTAAACGCCACACGACCCCATTTTACCTGAGCGTGTTCTTGGGTTTTAGACCCCCGATTTCAGCCAGCTTTCAAGGCTACATGTGAGTAGTGTTTTATTTGGGGATACTATGGTACGCAATATAAAGAGCAAGATTATATCCTCCCTTTGGGGTATAGTATTTTATATAAGGAATATAATGATGTTCATGAGGAGAACTACCAGAAATCGGGTTACACCCTATCATTTCAGCTCTACCCCCTTCCCCCCCTCTTAGCTGGCTAATTTGGGTATGTGTAGGCCTAGCTGGCTAAATTGGGTATGTGTAGGCCTTGGGAGCAGTAGCAAGGGAGATCTGGTAGAAGTCTTGCAAAGATTCGTGCAATTTGAGGACCTCTTATTTAGTGGTGTACAGTGTCCAATGGACGGCAATGCACAGGGCAGCTTCCCCAAACCCTGAGCCCTTAAACCCTTTAATTCCTTCAACTCTAAACTCAAGTATGCCCTCAGCATCGGAGAGCTGACAGGAAGCTGTTTGTCCGGACGAGAGAGAAGATCTGAATGCCAGGTGAAGAGGAAAGGAACCACAAAAAGCGCCCTCCACGGATGACTGTCCTTCCATCGGGGTTTCATGCTAGTTTGGGTGAGCGTATAGTCCCTGGAGAACACAGTTGGGGCTTCTTAAAAAAAGTGAGGCTATAGGGACACCAGATATATGCGTGTATGTATGTATGTATGTATGTATGTATGTTTGTATGTATCGGTGCTGGTGTTGTGTCCTCTTTTCAGGGATCATGTCAAGACATTGCTGCAAAATTGCCAGACCTCCTGATAGTTCTCAGTTGCTGCTCGATGAAGGCGACGCCCTAAAGCCTAAGCATCACGAAGCTCATTCGTTGGATGCAGGCAGGCATCCTAAACCCTAAACCCTAAATTGTAGTTTCCATTTTCTTTTCCATTATCCCTATATAATCCCCTAAATAGACCCCATATAACCCCAATTGGGTACCAGAATGGGCTTCAACCCTACACCCTAAACCCTAAACCCTAAACCCTAAACCAAGAGTATGACGGTGAAGGCTCCATGTGGCAGTAGCTGCAGCAAATCCGAGACCAAAATGCCACTCCCCCATGCCGATAGCTTAATTGGTCATTGTAGTGACCGGAAAGGGGACCCGTCGTTCCTCAGAATTATATGTTCTTGTCATAGGCAAGGGAAAATTGAGGGATGAGGAAAAACAAGGTAAGTGGCTGACCTGCCGCCCTTATGTTTTGCACGTTACGAAAACTCAAAAAAATACTGTAATTCATTGTGTTTTTGTGTTATAAGGCTTATTTGCGAGGCCATGGAATTTCCCAAAAATGTTTACGTTAGTTGATAATTTTCGGGAACATGGATACACTGGAAACATGATCGTTACTATCTTGGCCAGCACGCATGCTCTCCAACATGGATGCACTAGGACGGCACCATGAACGTTATTATCTTGGCCAGCATGGATGCTCTCGATCATGGATGCGCTAGAGACGTGAACGTTATTATCTTGGCCAGCATGGATGCTCTCGATCATGGATGCACTAGAGACATGGACACAAAAAGACAGTTTTCCCGTTCTGCCGCGCGTTGAGATACTGTGAATTACAGGCTCAAGAGCTTCTTCGCAACATAAATTCCGGTTAAATGGGCTCAAACGTGAGGTTTTGAAGAGGAAAGCTGCCTTTTTTTCCGATGAGGTTTTTTGCATTTCCATACGTGCCGAAGACACATCCAAGACATGAACATGAACACCCACACGTTAAGCACATTGACATCCTGCTTGGGCACTTGCGCCACCCCAAAAAACATTGAAAGTTGGTGTCAGGGCGGCGAGTCAGCCACCTGGCAAAAGCAACTTGGATATGCTCCATTTTAGGGCACGAGCGTCCAAGTACTGCTATGCTACAAATATTATAGTCTCCCTTCAGTAAATAGAATGTAAAATTCCCGAAAACCACCATAAGATCTCAATATATCCCCTATAGGCCCCATTCTATACGATATCTACTCCTAAATTTAAGCCCTCCGTCAAAAAAGGTAATGACGGCCGCCTGACGACTCATCCTTCGGGCAGGTGGGCCCTCCGAGTTTGTCTCTCCAAAAGACTGACTAACCTTGTTTAGGGTTTAGGGTTTAGGGTTTAGGGTGCAACTAATTCTGAAAGTGTATAATCTAATCAGGTGATTGCTCTGTGTCGAAGGCTTGAAGTCCGGCTGTCTCTGTTTGAAAGCCTCTTGGGAAACCGTGCAATGCTCTTGAAATTAAAGCGCGCAGTCGACTGTCTGCAAATATTGCCAAATAGAAGCCTTTTGCTGCTACGGATTGTAGTACAGGTTGATGAGACCGGATACTTGGACCCTTAGGAATAGACAGCATCCACGTCGTAGGCATGCCACCTTTAGCATGCTAGCAGAAAGCCAGCTTCGGGGTTTAGGGTTTAGCACTCCTACAGATCACAGCAACTGGGGGAGGCAACCTATCCGTGAAGCCCAATAAGACCTTAGACCTCCCCAGTAATCCGCTCCCGCGACTATCCACCCTGCTAATACTAAATACTCCTCGTGATTCGGAGCATCTGATGTTCAATGGGTGGGGATCTACCTTTTTGGGAAGCAAAGTACCCAGAATCAGGGCCTTTTGCCCCCTAATACCAGCTATTGGGGCAGTTCTTGGGTGTTTAGGAAGTCTAAGAAATGGGCCGGACAACTGCAAAATACATCAAACACCCACCCTGAAAAAAATTTTAACGCGCTTTGGCACAGACCCCCAGCAGGATCACACAAAGCTGTTGTCTGGGATCAAGTGGCAGATTAAAAAGAGGTCATTCTAAGTAGCTCCGACATACAAGACTCTACTACTTGGACGGCAAACAGCATGTCTCCGAGCCTGTCCTAAAGCCCAGACGACTTGTGATGACTTGTGTGTCGGTGGTTGCACTAATTAAAGACTACATTCTTACTAAAAAAAATGCGCCCCCCTACATTTATGGTCCGGGGTACAAGTCAAACTCCTATTTTGATCCGCATCTGTGAAACTGTGCGCAGCTCCGCGCGGTCCATGCCTCGCCAACTGCGGCCCACCTGAGTGTTCATGATTTATGTAACCCTCATTTCAGGTTTACCTGAGAGCTAATTTAAGGTGTGGCTACACATTACATTTACATATAAGGAGGCTGCAACAACGCTTCAGTAAATGGAAAGAACACTACCACGGCAAGACCTCAGGGCCCGGCGAACGCGAACATCGAGTTCAACCGACTACTGGGATGATCGACAAAAACGAGAGCAGCAGGAAATCGGTTATTGCCGTTGTTCTTACCTTTCAGGGGTGATCATGCAAGGAATGTGTCTGGCATCTGTCCCTGAACAACCTGCTAAGCGAGAGGCAACATTATTCCCTGGCAGCCCCTGACATCAAACCACATAGTGCTACCTATCTTCTTCTTCATCCATGTCTTTTCAGGAAAGTTCCTGGTTAGGTTCGCTAGACAAGGGGTGAGGTGCCCTGCTCGCGCAAAAGGAGGTGGCCTTCAACACGAACGTTATTATCCCCTCCCCCACCCCACCCCCCAACCACCCCCCCCCAAGAACAACCAATGTTGAGTCGACAGCTCGAATCCCGGGCAAACGTATAGGCTAAACCCTAGGTTTTGGAGCATAGAGTTTAGATTTGGGGGCTCACGGCTTGGGGTCATTTTCAGTATCCTCTATGGCTAGACCTTAGGTCAACTAGCCCCGACAACAAGCATGGGCAAGACACTTAACTTGAGTCAAAAAGTCGTACTGGTGCTTAAGGGGAAGTAGGGGAGTGAATATAGGTACATGTATAGAGGATTACATAGGGATGCACTCCTCGACTCT